CAAAGTAATCATCCAAAGAATTATACAGATTTTATGCACTTCCTATCAAACTCCCAGTGATACCCTTCAGAGACTTGGAACCTATATTAACTCATACTAAAATTTGTATGGAGTCAGAAAACTTCCTGAATGGCTATTCTAAGGAAGAAGATAGGAGGTATCACTTTTCCTGACGTCAGAATTTACTGTAAAACTACTGTAATCAAAACTACATTGTACTGGAGTAAAAATTCTTATAGACACATGGAACAGAATTGAGACCCTAGAGATAAACCCTCAGATCTTTGGACAGTTAATATGACAAAGTTGATGGTGCACGACGTGGAACAAGGAAAGCCTATAAAACAAAAGGTGCTGGGAAAAATGAATAGCCACATAGAAAAAAAAAAGTACCGGGTTGGAGTGATAGCACAGCGGGTAGGGTGTTTGCCTTGCAAGTTCGATTCCCAACACCCCATATGGTCCCCTGAGCACCGCCAGGAGCAATTCCTGAGTGCATGAGCCAGGAGTAACCCCTGAGCATCGCCGGGTGTGACCCAAAAAGAAAAAAAAAAGTACCCATGTTTCATACCAATCACTAGAGCTAATTCAGAGTGGATTATAGACATCATGATTGGTCCAGAATCCATTCAGTTTGCTGAGATAAATAGGCAGAACTCTCCAGCATGTGGACCTCAAAGGTATTCTGAGCGATTTGACTTCAAAGGCAAAGCTAACAAAAACAAAAATAAATGGGACTCCATAAAATTTAATATTTTTACAATTAAAGCTTTTACATGACATAAGAAATGCAGGCCAAAATAAAAATATACCCTACTGAAGAAAATAATTGTTATCCAACACATAGGATAGAGGACTAATAATATCCAAGATACATAAAGTACTCACAAAACTCAGCAATAAAAATACCAATAACCCCATCAAGAAATGGAAATGAGGGCTGGAGCGAGTCGAGCGGGTAGGGCACTTGCCTTGCATTCAGTTGACCTGGATTCCGTGCCTGGCGTCCTACGTGGTCCCCCGAACCACTCCAGGTGTTACCTCCTTTTGTGCCTCCCCTCCCCCAGAAAGGAGAGAAGGTGAACCAAGAAACAATTCTTTGAAGATGCCATGTGGACATTTTGGAAAGTAGGGATCGGGGATAACACAGGAGGTGAAGTGCTACTTCTCTTTGGGGGCTGCGGCCTTGCTCAGATCCTTAGGAATCCCTGGCACCACGAAGGGTTTCTCTGAGCACCAGGGGGCACTCCCGGACACAGCCGGGAGTAGCTACTGAATGCTGTTGGGTGTGGCCCCGTGTCCCTGACTGGATAATAGGGGACCAGAGAGATTACAGCCCTTCCCACAGCCAAGCACAGCCCAACTCGCTCCTGTTGGGAAAGCTAGGACAAGCCCCGCCACACTGCTACATGTTGCCCCCGAACTAGCAGCAACAGAAGTTGGAAAATAGGACCAGGGGAAGTAGCTTAGGGGTAGAGCACTTGTCTCGCGTGAGGTGCTGGGTTACATTCCCCGTACATGGGGTGCCTCGGGCACTGCTGGCAGCACCCTTGGGCAGTACTGTATGACACCCCCCCCCAATTATTTTTTTTTAATTTGGGAAAATTTAGAAAAAGGGGAAAATGCGAATTATGACTTTCTTATTCATATTTTGGTAAATTTCTTTCCAGCCTTTTCTTTATTCCACTCACACAATTTAAAACTTATTGCAGTATACCTTTTTCATTTGTTTTATTTATTTTTGGGCCACACCTGGTGATGCTCAGGGCTTAGTTCTGACTCTGTGCTCAGGGATCACTCCTGGCACACCTTGGGTTCCAGATGTGGTGCTGGGGATTGAACTCAAATTACATGAGTACAAAGCAATTGCCTTGCTACAAATTGTAGCAGGTACACCAGGGGCTGGAGCAATAGCACAGTGGGTAGGACGTTTGCCTTGCATGCCGCCGACCAGGGTTCGATTCCCAGCATCCCAGTGCTCCCCTGAGCTCCGCCAGGAGTGGTTCCTGAGTGCAGAGCCAGGAGTAACCCCTGTGCATCGCCAGGTGTGACCCAAAAAAACAAAAAACAAAAGCAGGTATGCCATCCTTTTTTTTCCTCTATGACTTCATTTCTTGTATATACTACATGCCAGTAACAGGAACTCTTTAATATTAAGGAAAACCTTAAATGTAATTTTAAATGAGACCAAAATCTCTCATGTATAGACCTCTCAGGTTCACCTAATATCAGTACTTGGTCATCTTGTTGTATCTATAGCCTTGAAGAATTTAGAACAAATTCTTTTTTTTTTTTTAATTTTAGTGAAACACCATGAGGTACAGTTGTAGACTTATAAATTTTTGTGCTTGGGTTTCAGTTATACAGTGATAAAATTTGGATCAAATTCTATGTGACATTTTTATTCTTAATATCTAAGTATGACCTTTACAAGTATTTTGTAAAAGCTATCAAACTGCCATTATTAAAACCTGAAGAAGGACCAGGCAGATTGGACTCAATGGTCTGGAGTCTGCGCTGCTGAGAGACTCACAACTGTGGTCACTGGCATTGCACGGCTCTCCAAGCACCACAGGGAAGCTACCAGATCTCTGAGCTCTGGGCAAGGAGTAGCCCAAGACAAAATCATTCTTAAGGAAAAACAGAAACAAAAACTGATTCCTTAGTATCATAATCTGGTGAGTTAAGACAATAAAATTTCTCTCAATGAATATCCAATAATTTACTTAATAATTCCATTAGGACCTTTAGGGTGTTTAGAATTTTGTGTGATTTTAACTAATTGTTTGGACAACTTCATGTCTATAATTTTTTCTCTAGTTAATCTTTTCTTCAGGAAGGCATTCTAAACCTGAACAGTAATACAAAAAGTCTTGTGATGTTTTATCATCTCTGCAGCAGTGCATCTTATTATATTAAAAAAAAATCCTTTTTTTCCCCCGGGATCACACCTGGCAGTGCTTTGGGGTTACCTGGCCTGGCGGTTCTCAAGGGACTATACCAGGTGCCAGGGATCAAACATGCTTTGTCCATGTGGAAGGCAAACACCTCACTTGCTGGGCTCTCGCTCTGGGAAATTTTAGTTCAGGCACAGAAGCATGTAAGTGAAGATCTTTGCAGCTCTCAGTCGATGTATGAAGAGGGGGGTTGTGATTTCCTTATCCTCCTCAGGATATAGTTGGCTGACTCTTCCATAGCACCTGCATCTGTTGAATATTTTAGTCGTGAGTGATTATTCTGTCTTCTATTCTGTTGCCACATACGTGGCTTAGAATTTAATGGTATAGGTGGCAGGGGCTGGAGAGATTAGCACATCTGGTGGAGGTAGTATGCTTGCCTGGCATGAGGCCAACCTAGATTCTATCCCTGGCATGCACATGGTCCTCCGACCGACCCCTGCCAGCAGTAATCCGAGTGCAGAGCCAGGCCAGGAGTATGTCCTGAGTACCTCTGGATGTAATCCCAAAACCAAGAAATTTTAAAAAATTAATTTATGGGGCTAGAGAGCGTACAGAAGGTAGGGCACTTGCCCACATGATGTCCTGGGTTCAATTCCCCAGAACCTCTGGGAGTGATCCTTAAGTGCAGAGCCAGGAGTAAGCCCAAGCACCACTGTGGCACAGAACAAAAACAAAACAAAAAGTCAAGGTCAAGGCGTCAGGAGTGAAGCTCATTGGCTCATTCACCTTGCAGGTGTGAGGGCCTGGCTTGGATCCCTGGCACTGAGCCTGACCCTCAGAAGAAGGGAGGATTTAAGCTGTTCTCCACAGAATTAAGATATTCCTCCCATAGTATTTTTTGGTGTATTAGATTAGGAGTCTAATGTGAATTTCATTTCTTCAGTCATTAAGAGTTATATATAAAGATTTTTAAATTCTACTTCAAGCAAGGAAGATTGTTTGGATTTCTAGACAAGTACAAATATAGGAAACATTGATTTATCATCATATAAATTAAATAAAAATTGATAAAAACATTAATACGGTATTTTAAGTTTAGCCTTACTCTCTCTCTCTTTTTTTTTCCCGCGGGGGTGTGGGGCACACCCAGCAGTGCTCAGGGCTGACTCCTGGCTCTTTGCTCCGGATTCACTCCTGGCAGTACTCCGGGACCATTTGGAATGCCAGGTCCAACCTGGCTCAGCCCCCTGCAAGGGAAGTGCCTTCCCGCTGTACCATTGCTCCAGCCGTAGCTTTAAACTACTTTGGATGATTAAACTGAAGATTCTGAGTATCAATAATAGTCTGGACAGATGATTTAAAAACAGAATAAGCAGGAGAAAGCTAATGTAAGAGGAACAAACTATAAAACGATACTATAAGCAATATAGAAGGAATTTATCTGTTATCTAATACAGTTTTGGATACAGCGTGGTATAGTTCAAAGAACACTGACATTTGGAGATCTAAGTTCATTTCTTGACCATCTCATGATAATACTAACAACAACGATCCTATAAATAATTACCATTTATTGAGTATGCCAAGTACCAGACCTGTGAGCAGTTGATAGACGTCAGTCATTTAATTTACAACGCCACAATAACCTTGGCAGACTGGTTTGCACTTTTTTAACATCTCGGAGAAACAGAATCTCAGAAATTTTGTCAGGATCTGTGTAGTCTTTCTCTTCTTCTTGTGATCACGATGGTTATTTTTTCTTTCTCTAGCCATTCTCTCTTGGTTTTCCTCTCTTGAGTACAAGTTCTCTATGGTTAGGTGTAAAAGTTATTCTTCCATAAACATTTGAGACCATGTTCTAAGGCCATTCTTTTTGTTATTCATCACTCTTCCGTTTCATGACACATGATAATCTGATTTAATACAGTATATATTTATAATGTATGAAAGAATGCTTCAAAATTGCTTATGTATTTCATATTTTCTCTAACTACTAAAACTCTTTTCTTCCTAAAGTTTGCACAGTTGGGTACTGGGCCAGGGTATTTCAGTTCTCTTGTCACTCATTTTTTATTCTCTCAACTTTGCTTTTCTTTACAGAGTTTGAATTCTTATACAAATGGAGCATATGGCCCACCATATTCCACCGGCCCTAGTGCAAATACGACCTCATACTCGGGGGCATATTACACACCTGGATATACTCAGACCAATTACTCCACAGAGGTTCCAAACACCTATTGTTCACCTGGCGACAGCCCAGCCCCAGTCTCTCGTTGGATATATCCCCAGCAAGATTGCCAGACTGAAACACCGCCTCTTAGGGGGCAGGTTCCAGGATACTCTGCTTCACAGGTAATTGCCTGTTTTCTGTTGGGACAAAAATGCAGGCTCTGTCTCTTGAGTTGTATAGAGTGGATGGGCACCGATCATGGTAACGTTGACTTAGTAAAACACTCCTTGCAGTGACTGGGAAGGCAGGAACTCCCCCCCCCCCCTTTTTTTTGCTCCTGTGTTTCTCACTTGTTGCAGTTATTATAGTAGATGAATTTTAAGCTGAGGGTATCTTCAAGTTGTTATATAAAAAATTGTAACGTAAAGTAAAGGCCCTCCCGTTGATCGTCGATTTGCTCGAGCGGGCCCAGTAACGTCTCCATTGGAGACTTTGTTGTTACTGTGTTTGGCATATCGAATACTCTCAGCAGCTTGCCGGGCTCTCCGAGAGGGGCGGAGGAATCGAACTCGGGTCGGCCATGTTGGCCGCTTGTAAGGCGAACGCCCTACCCGCTGTGCTATCGCTCCAGCCCTTTTTAAATAATTATAAAATTTTTGTAGGGGAAGAATCTTTAGAGCTGTTGCTCGAAAGTTTCCCATGTAGTCTTTTTAGTGTGTATATAAGTATACACACACATGTGATGCGTATGTTCTGCCACTTAGCTGAGTTCCCCAGCCTAGACATACTGATTTATTTCGGGTGTGCTCAGGGCTTACGCCTGGGTTTGTCCCCCAAATTCTGGCAGGCACTGGGGACCGTATGTGGTGCGAGAGATGGAATCTGGGTCCGCTACATGTGAGGCAAGTCCTTACCTGCTGAACTATTTGGCCGTAGGCTTTTTTTGTTTGTTTGTTTTGCTTTTTGGGTCACACCCGGCGATGCACAGGAGTTACTCCTGGTTCATGCACTCAGGAATTTCTCCTATTACTCCTGGCGGTGCTCGGGGGGCCATATGGGATGCTGGGAATTGAACCTAGGTCAGCTGCGTGCAAGGCCAACGCCCTACCCGCTGTGCTATTGCTCCAGTCCCACAGGCATATTTTCTTAATGTTAATGTCAGTAGAAATTCCAAAGTGTCTTTATGTGTTCTTCCTATAGCCTACGGAAGCATAGGACAGTTAGGCAGTGGTTTGTACTGGAGTATTTTCATTGCTTGAAAGTGTCTTTTAGTAGTGATCGGCACTTTCCTTCTTCTCAATCTAGAGCCCTGGAATGACTCTGCCCCATTATTCTTACGGGGATGGTAATCGTAGTATTCCGCAACCAGGACCTAGTGGACGATCCCATGAGGACTCCTGGGCTCCTCCCGGGACTTACGGAATGGCAAACCGGTACCCCTGGCCACCAGCTGCCCCTGCAGCACCACCCAGTAACCTCTACGTGAGCGAGAATGCTTCCCCGTGGCCTGGCACTGGCTCTCCTCGTCCTCCTCAGCCGCCTCCTTCACCGCCCTTGCAGCAACCCAAGGTAGGGGTCTTCAGGCACCTGGGGGTGGGCAGAGCACCGCCTAGACCTGGGCTGCACTGGTGTGTTTTGAATGGGGATGAATGACAAAAAGCTGGTGACTGCCACCTCCCTGCCGTGGCTTTACCTAGCCCAGTTTCATCTTTCCCACCTCCCTATTTTGTAAAAAATGGCTTTAATTGTTACGACAGTTTTAGGTTCACAGCCTTTATCCAACAGGAAGGAGAATACTCCTTTGCTGTTTGTTTTAATCTGAATCTTAAAACCAGAGTTTGTGTTTTATTACCCTAGTATAGAGAGAGAAGACAAACCCAAGTGAAGTATTCCAGAAGGCTTAATTAAAATGTAGGCTTGAATATCATTTATTTTGGCTGGGCTCCTTTTCATAATCTGTCTTGGTGTTAACGAGGGGAAAACTAATTTCTTTATTAAGTCACTGGGTGGATTGTGATGTGGTCAGAATAGATTGAGATATTCACTTGATGATCTGCGTCAGGGTAGATTCCAGCCATCGTACTTGGAACTCTGGCTTTTACTTTGACAGAGTATTCTTTTCATTCTTGTCCACCTTTTTATTTTTTTTTTATTTTTGCTTTTTATGGGTCACACACAGCGATACTCAGGGGTTTACTCCTGGCTTGGCACTCAGAAATTACTCCTAGCAGTGCTTGGGGGACCATATGAGATACTGGGAATTAAACCTGGGTCGGCCGCATGCAAGGCAAACGACCTACTGGCTATACTGTCGCTCCGGCCCTTGTCCATCTTTTTAGAATTGTATTTTCCCAGCATGATTCAAGAGGGAGGTCCAGCTTTACTGGTGGGGAATCTATGTACCTTCCTGGTCAAGTGAAACCTATGAGCATGTAACTGTAATGTTGATGAATTCCCATTAAAATGCTTTTCTTCCCTTTGCTCTCCTACTTCAAGGATTCCTCATACCCCTATAGCCAGTCCGATCAAAGGATGAACCAGCACAGCTTTCCTTGCAGTGTCCATCAGTTTCAGCCCTCAGGAGCGGTGAACAGTGATAATTCAGAGCCTTTGGATTCCCAAGTCCAGTATAGTGCTGAGCCTCAGCTATATGGTAATTCCAGCAATGAGCATCCCAGCAATCAAGATCAAAGTAATCTCCCTGAGGAACCATTATCTTCAGATCAAAGTACTCCCCCAGGTATTAAGAAAATCATACACGTGCTGGAGAAAGTCCAGTACCTTGAGCAAGAAGTAGAAGAGTTCATAGGAAAAAAGACAGACAAAGCTTACTGGCTGCTGGAGGAAATGTTGACCAAGGAGCTGTTGGAACTGGATTCCGTTGAAACTGGAGGCCAGGATTCTGTCCGGCAGGCCAGGAAGGAGGCTGTTTGTAAGATCCAGGCCATCCTGGAAAAATTGGAAAAAAAGGGCTTATGAACAGATAAGAAACAGAGGGAAAAGCTCCTGTTACTAACTTAACCAAAGAACTCTTGGGTTTGGTTAATTACTCACTTTCTGAAATGCCTGTTGATAACGAGAAGCAGTACATTCCAACTTTGATTCAAAGCTTGAAAAGCTGGTAATGGACTTGGGTGAACATTTTAATTATGAATTGTTTCAGGTTTTCAGACCAATGAATGTAATAGGAAACTGGAGTTATCAATATTGCCAATTAGATTAATTCCTTAGACTTGCGGATAATCTAGCGAGCTGCTTCTTATCAGCAGGAGGTAAAATACGCTTATGTAACAGGCTTATCAGAAACCTACCAGATGAGACTGACTCTGTGATCTGAGACAGTTCTGTTTTTAAACATCTGGGCCACTTGTCACATTTTTGTACATTGTGACTGCTTTCAGCATACACCTGTAAATTACTGCTTGGACTTTAGCCTTTCTTGACCCCTGTTTTGTTTTGTTATTTGCAGTTCACAAATATAGTATTCTCTATTTCTTGGTATATTTTGTAGTAATATGTTTAATATAATAATTCAAAAGACTATTGATAGCCAGATAGTATGGCAATTCTGAATGAATTTATATCTTTTCTTCACTTGAATATATTGCAGTGTGTGTACTGAATTTCTGAGATAAATTGTCTCCCCTTTTGTATTGATCGTTAGGTTCAAGTTTTATCATGTCTCTTTGATGTTACTAGAGGAAGGTAAATTTGGAAGTGGCACTTCATAGGAATGAAATTGATTCTTGGCCATCTTTGAGTGTGTTTTTTTGTTGTTGTTGTTGTTGTATTTGGATAAAGATCTTCTTTACAGAATATAATTACCTTTTATAAGGTAAATGAAGCTTCCAAATGAAGCATTATGATAAATAGAGATAAAAATTTAATGCCACAGTGAGTGGAGATAATAGCTGAAGAAGGAAATGAATATGACATGGAAGTTCTACTCTATCCAGAATAGGAGTTTCACTATCCAGATCCCAATGAGCAGATTTCAGCTCAGTTTATAGTACAGAATAATGAGGGTGAGTAAAAGGGTTCATGCTCAGGGAATGCATCAGCCATATCAAGAATGGGAAATAATCTCTAAAAGGCAGATTTGCTTTCTGGGGTCCAGGGTGAAGTTTTGGAACACATCTGGCAGTGCTCAGGAACTGTTCCTGGCTCTGTGCTTAGGACAGAGCCCTTAAGGGACAGCGCTTGGGGGTTTTAACTAAGGTTGGCGGCATGCAAGGCAGATGCATGCAAGGAGCCCCTACACGGTCCCTCCAATACCCAAGGGGGATTTGGTTTTATCTTTTATTTCCCTGGAATAAATTGCACACACACACAGTATTGCCTGTTTTGTAAGAAAAGATGTTTTATTACCATTAATTTTCATTATAGATCCCAATTTCAGGACAGAATATTGAAATGGTCTAATCTGGGCTTGCTTGGATAGCTCTCTGCTATTACATGGAAGAGATGGTGGTAAATGACTTACTTTTTACACCCAAAGTGAGTTCTAGTATACAGTATCTGTTATTGGAAAGCAGCTGCTTCTTACTAAGATGTTCAAGTGATAATTTTTTTGCCTAAACTGCCAGGCTTGTTAACAAATCTCTCAGCCCTCTCCTCTCCTTATACATGAAACACTATTGATAGGACAAATATGATGAGAAGACATGAGTAAAAATATTGGCTGCACTAAACATGGTAAAAATAATCATATGATTGGAATGCATGATTTTATGAGAGAATATGGTGATAATTTTACTATAGTAAATACTGGCTTACCGTAGGAATGTTAAAAAAAAGCTCTTCTATGAAAATTAGAAACTTGAAATTAAAATTTAGGATTGGGGACCTTAAAGCTAAGTTAACGTAAACCAGTGAGTGGTAATTCAGGAGATGACTATTACTACTTAATTGAGTGCCCAACATACCAATTTTCAAAAAGTCTTGATATATATTTACATTATACACAGATGCATTTATGTGTGCATTTTTGTCTTTAAAAATTGTTTTTTGAGGTGACTTTGGACTGAATTGAAGAGTTGTAAAATGAACACTCAACTTCCCGTTATGTTAACATCTGCTAACCACAGAACATTTATCAAACTTACAAAGTTAGCCTTGATACAATACTGTTAACTAGAGTTTTAAAATTCGAGATTTCCTTTGTCTTTTCACCGATGTCCTTTTATTGTCCCATGGTCCACATAGGGACCCACGTAGCTGTTGTCTCACTGTGTCTTCCAGTCCGAGTGCAGCGACACCTGACGTTATCCTGTATTCCTGGTATTGTTAATCCTGTTCACTGCCTAAGGTGGTGTCTGCTAGAATTCCCTACCCTCAACTTCTATGTCCTCTTTTGTGATGACTGTATATTTGCTGGGGACCCTTTGAGACTATGCAAATGTCATGTTTCTGCTTAATCGTTTGCCCACTCATTTTTGGAGCCCTTGGCAGATCTTGCTTTGTGTCAGTTCCTCACTGTGGTGGTCAAACGGTGATTTCTAGTTCTCCTGTTCCTTCGATGTTTCTTCATTGAAGTTCTTCTGTAAGGGGAGGGGCATCACTTCTGGATTATATTTCTAATTATAGTAAGATTCGGGATAAGTACAAACTGAACTTAAAGCTGTGCAAACCATGTTAAAATGATTCTAAATAGCGATATCGAAGGACAGACAATTAAGAATGTAAGCTTTTTTCAGAAAGTACAGTGAACTTAATAAGGAGAATAATATTCATAATTTGTGGGTTTGGTTTAAGTTTTGATTAAATATTGACTCCAGAATGAATTTTAAATTTTATTGATATGTGATTGATATTAAAACGTGTCTAAATTTATATTCTGTGGGATAATTTTTGTCAAAATCTTGAATAAAGTTTCCCAGACCTGGCATGTTAAACAAAACCGTCTTCTGTGTGATAAATGCTAATATAAATTTGTAAGTCCTAATGAATCATCTGGGGAATGGGTTGGTGTGAATTTTTTCTTGTGTTTGGGGTCTGTGTCTGGCCCCTGCTTGGGGGGAGGGGTCATTCCATCGGACCTGCTGCTTCTGCATGTACAGCCAGCTGATTGGACTCTCTCTCTCCCTGTCCTCGGTGTGGCCTTCTCTCAGAGTTTCAGCAGTGTTCTTTGAAATCAGTTTTTTAGGTTAGTATAGTACCACTACCGACAGGCTGATTCAGGTAGAAGGTTGAGGGTGGGGTCAGGCCGGAAGTCGCACCCTGTTGTGCCCTTTGTGCCGAGTAGGACGCTGGCAGCTCTGCAGGTAGGTCTGTGGCGAAGACGACTCAAAAAGAAAAATACACTCACGCACACATCTGCAAGCATGTGTGTGAGCAGCCCGGCGACCTTGTAACGCTCGCTGAGTGTGCGCGAGACTCACCGCCGAGGAGGAGCAGGACTGGTGGCAAGCAGGTCTGCAAGCAGCATGGAAAGCGTGTGACTGGGGACACTGCCACATCGGAGTGACGAGCTCGAGCTGCTTCGTGAAAGAAGCAGTCTCCTGCTTCCGTTCCCACTTTCCCTTACACAGAAGGAACCACTTTCCACTGGGTTTAAAAGTTAGTATCTGTTAAAAAAAAAATAATTGTCTTGCTTCTTCATTCATCAATTTTAGATCATTCCCACTGATTCTGAATTACAGCGAATGAGGGTCTCGGTTTGTGTCTGCCCATCATACACCAGTAGGGTCCTCATGCTTTCCCTACCGCCTTTTTAATCTGATTATAAGGTATTTATCTACATACAATAGATTGCTTGGAATGTTCCTGCAAAGGAAATTTATTTACTCTCCATAGTTTGTTGATTCACTTCTGTCAGCATGGTCTCAGATTTTCCGTTTTCTTTTTCTGTTTGGTGGTGCTAGGAATGGAAGCAGGGCCTTGCCCATGCAAGGCACACTTGGATTCTTTGCTTCTGGTGATGTTCAGGGTATACTCCAAGCAATGCCGGGACAGAGAGGCCACTGTGTGCTGCTGGGGGCCACACCTGGCCTTCCAGCACTCAAACCACATGCCTAGCTCTGGCTAGTGCTGGATGTGGGGTCACTACTGCAGGACTTGAAGACTGTAAGATGCCACAGATTGAACTCAGACTTCCAACATGCAAAATGTGCTCAGTGCATTAGCTGTCTACCCAGCCTAATACTTGTGTTATGATCTGAAACAACCTTTGTGTGTGTGTGGGGGGGGGGGGGGGGAAGCGTGGTATAGGCCACACCTGGCAATGCTCAGGGGTTACTCCTGGCTCTGCACTGAGAAATTACTCCTAGCAATGCTCAGGGGACAAAATGATTGCCAGGGGTTGAACCTGGGTTGACCCAGTGCAAGGCACAAACCCTGCTTGCTATTACTATCTCTCTCTGGTCCCTAAAAAAATTGTTTTGATACTGAAATTGTCTTATGCTGGCCAACAGACAGTTGCTTTCTTGTCTGTGTTAGGCAATATGGTGGCTTCTGAGTATCTCAGTTATTTTTTCATTGGTGGGGAAGATACCTCCCAAGCAGTAGACCAGTGGTTCAGTGTGCGGGGTCCAGGATGTGGTGCTACTTGGGCCCTGCAGTACCAGGGACCACAAACGCCATCTTGGAGTGATTGTGGACCATATGGTGCCAAGGATTCGGCATGGGTAAAAGGCATATATTCTAAACCCTATACTGTCTCCCTGATCATTGGTTCTTCTTACTAAAAATGTTAGGGGTTGGAGGTGTGACCCAGCAGAAGAAATACACATATACACCATTGAAATAAACTCAGTGTTTACATATTTTTTGTTACTGTTGATTTTTTGTTTGTTTTGGGGCTCTCCACATTGCAAAGCATGAGCTTCCTCCATGTTAAGTTTTAGATTCTTTATTTGGGGTTGGAAAGATAGTACGGCTGGTCTTAGGGTGCTTGCCTTGTATGTGGCTGACCCTGGTTTGATCCCTGTACTCCTATAGTGGACGAACTCTGCCAGGAGTGATCTCTGAGCATCCCTGGGTATGGCCCCAAAACAAAAAGAAAATTTTAAGAATCACTTAATTTTTGGGCTGGAAAGATAGTACGGGGATAAACTACTTTGCATCTCAGTGACCCTGGTCTAAATCCCTGACACTGCACAGGGCCCCCTGGGTAACCCAAAGGTCACTTCTGAGCACAGAGTCAGGAGAAGCCCGCGAACAAGCTAGATACAACTGAAAAATAAATGAATGAAAGAATTGTTTTCTAGATCACAATTCTTTGTTAGATTTGTGTTTTTCTGTTTGTGTTTGGGGGCCTTAGCTGACAGTGCTCAGGGATCATTCCTGGCAAGAATGGGAACCATGTGGGTGCTTGAATCGAACCTGGGTTGGCTGCTTGGAAGGCAAGTGCCCTGCCTGTTGTATATCTTAAGTTTTCAATGTTGATAAAAATCCTGTGTCTGTTTTTTATATATATTTAATATTTTGGGTTTTGGGGGTTTAATCTCAAGGTTTACTTCTGGCGCTGTGCTCAGGGATCGCTCCTGGTGGAGCTCGGTACCATACCAGAAGCGTGCAAGCGAGTGCCCTGTCTGCTGGGCCATTGCTTCAGCCCCACCAGGAGTGATCCCTGAGCATAAATTTTTATTTTAAGGATCAGACTTTGGTGTTTAAGAACTCTCTGCTTAACCCCCAGTTCCTGAAGAGTGTCTTTTGTTTCCTAAAAGTTTTATATTTTACATTTTACTTGCAGAATTTCTGTTTTCCCAATCTAAGAGAAAACCTTACCTTAATGGAAACTTACAAGGTCTATAAGAACAACCTTAGCATACACCTTAACAGGTCAAAACAAAATGTTCTTCATTGACATTAGATATGTAAATCACTTTCTTTTTTTTTCTTTTCTTTTTTTTTTTTTTTTGCTTTTTGGGTCACACCCGGCGATGCTCAGGGGTTACTCCTGGCTCTTGCACTCAGGAATTGCTCCTGGCGGTGCTCAGGGGATCATGTGGGGTGCTGAGAATCGAACCTGTGTCGGTCATGTTGGCTGCGTGCAAGGCAAACGCCCTACCCGCTGTGCTATCACTCCAGCCCCTGTAAATCACTTTCTTTGAAAAAGAATCTAAGCTTATTCGTGTTGAGGGCAGGAACAATTCAATTTGATGATCAATAAGCATTTTTTAAAATGGTTTATAAACTTAGAATTTACCGACTTACAGCTGTTAAAAGAACACCGTTGAGTACTAAAATTTTTTCCAGAACTAACATACTTTCTGCCACCAACCCCATGGTTCTACGGATTGAACCCAGGGCCTCACATGTGCAAGACACACGCTCTATCATTGAGATGTATCTCTGGATCCCTCATCCTATCATTCCTTGTTTACAGATAAAGTCCGTTTCATAGTACTGATGAAATTCTAGCATAGGTCTCCTACTTTCTGATTTAAGTTCCTTGTTTCTCAGTAGCAGTCTGTTTTCCAGATTTAAATGTAGATTCATGGACTCCTTTGGGGAGAGGGGAAATCGACATTTAAAAAAAAAATCTTGGTAGCATATTTCAGGATTTTTTGGTTTCTTTTTGCTTTGAGCCGCAACTGACGGTGCTCAGGGCTTATTCCTTGTTCTATGCTCATGTCACCCCTATTTATGTCAGGAGGCCAAACCCATGGGGTTGGCTGTGTGCAAGGCAAATGCCTTACCCACTGTACTATCTTTGGCCCTTCTTCAATGTCTTAGAGCTTGAGAATCATTGCCCCAAGTGGAAGTTGTCTTCATATTATAGTCAAGACATCAGAGAAGACAATTTTCCCCAGTTTTGTAAGTCTATATGTGAACTGGAAATGGAACACATCTTCCTCTGGAAACTACCTTGGAGGGGAGATACCTTAATGAGCTAGAGCGCGGGCCAAGTATGCGGGCAGGGTGCTTGCCTTGCATATGAATTCCCTCTCCAGCACTCCATATGGTTCCCTAAGCCCCTCCAGGAGTGAGCCCCTGAGTGCAGAGCCAGGAATGAAAACTAACTGCAGCTGGGCATGGCCCCCTAAAATAATGAGGGGCTAGAGCAGAGCAGTAGTATAGTGGGTAGGTAGGGCATTTGCCTTGCATGCTGCTGACCCATAAGGTTCCCGAGAACTGCCAGGGGTAATTCCTGAGTGCAGAGCCAGGAGTAACCCCTGAGCATCGCTCGATGTGGTCCCCAAGCAAAACAATACAAAAGAGAATCTGCTTTGCAGGAAAGAACCTGGGTTTGAGCCCTTTGAACCAGGTGTCTGGCCTCAGGCCATGGTCAAGTGTGTGCCATACCGTTTGCACTTAAATCATGAGGAGTACTTCTTTACTATGTTTTTTTAAAAATTTTTATTAGTGGGGACTGGAGAGATAGCACAGAGGGTAGGGCGTTTGCCTTGCATGCCGCCGACCTGGGTTCGAGTCCTAGCATCCCATATGGTCCCCTGATTACTGCCAGGAGTAACTCCTGAGTGCAGAGCCAGGAGTAACCCCTGTGCATTGCCAGGTGTGACCCAAAAAGCAAAAAAAAAAATAAAATAAAATTAGTGAAACACCATGAGGTACAGTTGCAGACTTACAAATTTTTGTGCTTGGGTTTCTATTATACAATGATCAAGTACCCATCCCTCCACCAGCACCCATCCTTCACCACCACTTATCCCAGTATCCTTCTCACCCCCCATCCCCCCATCCCACCTGCCTCTGTGGCAGGGCATTCCCTTTTGTACTCTCTTTCCTTTTGGGTGCTGTGGTTTGCAAAAGAGGCAATGAGTGGAAATCATGTTTGGTCGATAGTCTACTTTCAGCATGCACCCCCCCATCCTGGGAGGATCCTCCCAACACCCTTTATTTGGTGCTCCCTTCTCTATCTGAGCTGCCTTTTCCCTAGCATGTGCGGCTGGCCTCCAAGCCTTGGAGTAAACCTCCTGGTACTTATCTCGGCTA